CCAAATAGCACGGATACAGGGTTGTGATGTCGGGGACTCTCCTGCAGCCAACAGTAATAATAGAGACAGAGAACCACCAGAAGTGAGCGCGCACAGTAGCGCATTTCGCCATAGTAAGGCTTGGCGGCAGCGTGAGCGAAGTGCGGGGACGGCACTCAGGTGTTACTGCCTCAAGCGCTCCTCCCGTACACTTTTGAGCGGACAAAGTGACACGCTGCTGCAGGCCGACCCACCTCACGAATGGCAAGGACCAGAATCCACGAAGTAAGGTGCAGTTGGTCTACAAAAGTCCTATAAGCGCACTTCTATTGTTTATTGACATGATCGCGCATTATGGGTCTTGCGAGATCACGCTGCTGCTGGAGCAAGTGACACCCTCTGCTGTTTCAGAGAGAAAAGGTATCAGCGTTTAGCTGATGGATATCTTTCATCTAGAGCTTCTGCAGGCTGCTGCGTGGAACAGTCACGCACCAACGATATTTCCCTGTCGTGGAACGAGGCAAGAAAACCCTCGTCACCTTGTGACGCCTACGGTCAACATACCCTCGCTCTTTCCCTCGTGCTTCAACGCGCAGGAGAACACGCTGGTAGAAACTGCCGCAAACCCAAGCCCTTTAATCGCGTGAATCTTCGGTTCTCCCTATCTTTTCTGCGCCCTATGCGTGGCACGTTGTGACCACAGGAACCTCGCTCATCCCACTTTTCCGCGCATGATAAATGGATCGTTCATACCAAAGTCTCCCCTTTTGAAGAAGCCTATCGCTGCCCCGCCACATTTTTTGCCTCTTTTTTTGTTTATTCCTTGCGATACAGGGCTTCGACCATGCAGAAACGTTCAAGTGGTCACGTAACCGAATGAGCGCAAAGGGGATCGTTTAGCGCCCCACCACCCCAAGTGCCGTGGCAGAGAGCGTTATACTTCAGAAGAGAGGCACACTTCGTGCTCTAAAGAAGGCAGGAGTTAGTCTCCCCTTGCCGGTGTACACAGCTTGTAATTCGTTTCCCGGAATATTCATCGTCTTCGATCACTACAGCTGACTGCTATTTCTGGTGTAGTTCAGACACTGACGACCGTGACTTGCTTCTATCCATCAGTCGAGATACTGGATTGGCCCCTATTTTTTTCTCTCACTCGGAAAATCTTGCCAAAGATGAAAGCTTTGCCAATGAGTTTCCTACTGTTTCGCAGAGAATCCCTTGCCCTACACGATAGTCTTCTGAGTTTTTTTCGAAATTTCTATTTCCACTAATATTTAAGTGCTCAAACTGGAGTGTCAGGTCGACGAAATTGAGCACTTTTCGACAGCTTCTCTTTTTACTTCTGATTAGAAAGCTTAAACCGCACAGGGCTAGTCGCTAAGCATGTGGTCGAAAAGCTATGTCTCTTTTAAATGTTTACAACGGTTTATGCAATCTGAAGATTTCGATTTCAAGTATCGAACCGAATGCCCTATTGAGTCCAACTGAGAGCTTACCGAATCACCTTACTCATGAAGATTCATAACAAGGATGGGAAATCGTTGAAGGTCATGGAATGCTTCCTTATCATAATTAAGCATCACCGTAGCTGATGTTAGACCATGGTCGAGGTAGGTTCTGCAGGCAGTCGCTCCCCAAAATGGCCCCTCCTCATGCGGCGCATACTCACAACGTCCTAATTCCCAAGTTTGAATCGCTTAAGCCAACTTCAAGCTGTCGTACGAAGCATCTCTCCTTGGTCGTACATATCACAACTTTGAGCTTCTTCTGTAATCTGAGAGCCGAGATAAAGTGATTATCTATAAACAGCACAGTATATATCTACACTCCTTTTCATGTAAAAATTTGTGGGGGAAAAAACGCCATTACTTATGGGCCAACCCAATACAAGAGGATGCAGTCCAAAAAACAGTTTGGCTTCATATCAATGCCCACTTCAAAATGTACTAATAAAAGTGATTCCAAGTAAAGGCCCAAGCAGCATGCCACTTGGGGGGGGGTGGCGGGGGGGGGACGATCGGTACCAGCCAGGGGTCAGCAGTCGTCGGCATGTGTCGTTGGTAGTGCCAGTACGAGCCTCCCCCACCTGAGAGAGGGTCTCGGTACACCCCCCTCCCTTCTTCCCCAACCTATCTATCCTACCTATCTAACACTTTCCCACATCTGGCAGTTTTTCACCCATAAATTTTCCATCGAGCGGGGAGGGGGGATAAGTAACACATGTGGTAACGGGATAACCTCCTAGATTTCTCCAAACTCCTACCACTTTTTTCAAAATTTTACAAAATTCTTCCACTTTTCCCAGAAATTTTCCTGTCGAGCAGGGGGGAATTTCTCTCAAAGCCACATACGACCCCTTCGCCTCTCCCAAGAACGACCAGATACGGCCCTCACCTCGCAGCCGAAAAGTACTGTATCGTATAGTTCGTATTACTCGTTTTCTACCACTTTTTGTCGCATGCGCGCTTCAACAAGAAGGCAGAGAACGGTTTGACGGGTGACACACTCATACTGCCTGACACGCCCAACCGTCCGCAGCGAACTAGAGTGTAGTGAAACAGATTTATTTCGCAAATCAACACCAATTTCAATGTTTTTGTCTACCTCAGAATGTCGTTTAGGAGGACAATACTTTGTCGAAGTCGTAGGTGTAGGCGCCCATGATCAACGACGTGCCTCCATCGGCAACTATCATTTGTCCTACAATGTACGACGACAGCTTTCGGTCTGCTAGGAAAGCAATCACGTTGGCGATTTCTTCGGGACTTGCATTACTTCCACGAGGCACCGCATGTCTCTGGCTTCCATAGAACTTATACACCTGTAAAAAAACCATTTCATAGGGTGTTTTCGGACTTGGAAGTGCATTGATCACGAGACCCTTCTCTGGAGCCCAAATAGTGGAACTCTTTTCACCAGAATGAGCTGAAATTGATTATCTCTGCGTTTCCTGAACAAAGAGTCCATGCGCCACGCTTCTTAATAGCACTTATGTATATATGTACACCTTTTGGGCTTGCTCCTTTGTCAAGCCATTGTTCTCCATAAAATTCGTTTCCACGATGCCAGGGCTGCAAAATAGGCAGTATGATTGGTGTAATAAGACATATAATGT